TCACCATGAGGCTTATAACATGTATAAGGAAGCTTAATTCCTCCAAGGTCTCCAGTTACATGTATGTCCTGCCTGTGACAAAAGTTTCAGAATACAAGACATGCAAGACATGAAATGCTAATCGGACAACAACATTTACTATTTATATAAAGTTTTATATTTCAGAGGGTAGAAATCATACTTAAAATCATAATGTATAAGGAATCCTTATGTTTAGAAGTTTCTGTCAAGTCATATGTTCATTGTTTTTATTCTCATTTTCATTGTTCAGCGACTCCTTAAAAAACTACATGTGTAGTGATTTTATCAAGTGAATTTGTGGCATATTATAAGTAATAAGATAACTATATTTGGTATACATGTATGGGATCCAAGGTTTACATGTGTTGTCAGACGGGGTTCAACTTGTCTCAATTTTGTTTACAGCCTACGACTTTTGTCGCAGAAAGCTCGACATAGGGATAGTGATGCGGCGGCATTAACTAACTTCTTAAAAGCTTAATATTGCAGAAGGTAGAAGATCTGGATGCTTCATACTTTGTATATAGATGCCTTATGATATGAAGTTTCCGTCTGTCACATGTCCATTGTCTTTGACCTCATTTTCATGGTTCAGTGACTACTTGAAAAAAAAGTTCAGATTTTTTGTAATGTTAATTTCTCTCTTATTATGAGTAATTGGATAACTATATTTGGTATGTGCGTACCTTGCAAGGTCCTCATGCCTGTCAGACAGTTTTCATTTGACCTTGACCTCATTTCATGGATCAGTGAATAAGGTTAAGTTTTGGTGGTCAAGTCCATATCTCAGATACTATAAGCAATAGGTCTACTATATTTGGTGTACATGTATGTAATGATTTTAAGGTGTACAAGTCCAGCTGGCAGGTGTCATCTGACCTTGACCTCATTTTCATGGTTCAGTGGTAATAGTTTAGTTTTTGTGTTTTGGTCTGTTTTTCTAATACTGTATGCAGTAGGTCAAGGTGTGACAACTATATTTGGTGTATGGAAATATTTTATGGTACAGGCACATGAAATGCGATTCAAATAGTTTTTGTGTCACCTGAGACCATTGTTGCAAAATGTGACACTTAGGGATTACAATCAGCATAATCATGCAGCAGCATAAACTATTTGAATATAGTTTGATATTTCAGAAGATAGGTGACCTGGATGTTTTATACCTTCAAGTTGTACACAGATACATTTTTGTGTACCTTATATGTGTAGTCACTAAGTTTCTGTCCAACAAATGTCCATTGTCCTTGGCCTAATTTTTATGGTTCAGTGACTGCTTGATTAAAAATCATGCTTGTTTTTCTCATGTGAAATTTTCACTTACAAATGTATTATGGTCAAGTCTGTATCTCAGATTCTATAAGCAATAGCTCAACTTTATTTGGTGTATGAAATAATTGTTAGATGTACAAGTGCATTTTGGATAGCAGTCTTCATCGAACCTTGACCTCTTTTTCATGGTTCAATCTTTAGTTGTTGTGGTTTAGTCTATTTCTCAGAGACTAGCAATTAGGCCTCGACATTTGGTGTATGGAATGATTTTAAGGTGAACATGTCCGACACAGGCATTTTTTTCTGACCTTGACCTTTTTCATGATTAATTATATGACATTTATTATTTATGATATTGGACTATTTTGCAGACACTTTGAAGCAATAGGGCCACTATATTCTGCATATGGAATGATTATAAGGTGTTCATGTCTTGTCTGGCAAGTTTCATTTTGACCTATCCATCATTTTCATGCCAGGTTCATTTGTCAGTACTAATTTTTTTTTTTTTATCAGTTTATCAGATTAAGTATATGAAATGATAGGTACCGGTATATATTGAATATGTTTGTTTGGCAGAATTCATATGACTGTGACCTCATTTTCATGGTTCATTTGTCAATGGTAAGTTTTGATTTGGTCTTTTTTCACAGTACATGTACTCAAAAATATAAGACCACTATGTTTGGTGTCTTATCTATATAAAATTGAGAAACGAGAAACACGTATGAACTACATACATGTAAACAGACGACTACTACTGTACATCAGATTCCTTTTATTCCTTAGGGATTGGGGGGAGGGACTAAGATGAAAAATTTTGTCCTGCAATTTTTTTAGTTGTAATCTCTGTCCTGCATTTTTATGTTTCACTCTATTCGGTCCTGCCTGTTTTTTTAAAGTTTATCCGACTTTTTTTATACCTAAATTGTCATCCTGACTTTTTTTGCAAGTGTCTCATCCTGCCTTTTTTTTACTCAAAACTCCTGTCCTGCCTATTGTTTTCAAATTTCATCCTAGCCCCCCCCCCCCCCTCCCAAAAATCAAATGGTAGCTCCCTAAATTCAGATAGACTCCTTTAAAAATGTCTATAACTTTTTTCAAATTAACTTGGATTTTAATAAAACTCTACAGCTATCTCAATCATATATTGATCTTACAAAATGCAAGGTTATTTGGAAGTCAGTGACTCTTTTCACAAAAAAACTTACGATGAAAATTGATCGTAAGTTATACTGAAATGTGTATGACTTACGAGTATTTTTACTCTTAAGATTTTTTGTGAAAATAGCCGCAGGTTTATTGCTAGCTATAAATGTAAGGATTTATTTAAAAGGTAAAAAAGCAAGAATTTTCAGTTCGAGCTAAATTCACAGCTATCTAAATCATATATTGATATTACAAAATGCCTGGTTATAAGTCCCCTACCGACAAAGTCGAAGGGGACTTTAGGTTTGCACTCTGTCCGTCTGTCTATCTGCCCATCCGTCGGTCCGGCAAATCAGTTTTCCACACTTTTGTTTTTCGTGCTTGAAGATATTGATTTGATTTTTGGTGTATTGTTTTATCATGACAAGTTACAGATCAAGTTCGAATTTTATTTATCAATTATTATGTCAATGATAGACTAGGATTGGTTTTTGGTATATATGTATCTGCTACAGCATGGGAATTGTATATGAAATACACATGTATTTAAATATACAAGGCCACAAGTAAAAATATTTTGGTTTGCCCAAACCCTACCCAAAGGTAGAGACAGTAGGTAGGTAGGCAGGCATTTTATTTTATTTTTTTTCGGCAAAGAGAAATTGAAGTGGCAGATGTTTTTTTAGTCTTCGTGCCTATCTGATTAAAAAAAAACTTTTTCACATCAAGACAATAAAAGATTTTGAGTAGGCAGATATTTTCTGGGTAGGTAGGGTTAGGGCAAACACACAAATTCTTTTTTATTGCCTAACCTACTACCTAAGATTTTTTTCTTACTAGATACAAAATAAAAGACCCCCCCCCCCCTGACAGTTCACAAAAATTCGTACAGTAAGGCACCCCTCTAGTAGACTCTACCAACTGAGCTTAAAAAAAAATTCACCAGAGCAGTTAATAGAGGACAGTTTTTTTTTCTTGTTTGCAAGACGAAGGGGTGCTTGTGGTGCTACACATATATATAGATATAGGAAGATGTGGTATATATGAGTGCCAATGAGACAACTCTCCATCCAAGTTACAATTTATAAAAGTAAACCACTATAAGTCAAGGTACGGCCTTCAACACGGAGCATTGGCTCACACCGAACAGATAAAGGGCCCCAAAAAATTACTAGTGTAAAACCATTCAAACGGAAAAACCAACGGGTTTATCAATGCTTAGACTTTTTACATGTCCCATTCAAACTATGCATGGTTTGCACCCCTTATCAAAATCCTTGATCCACGTCTGGCAGAGGAAACCAGTGCTATAGTGTACAGTTTAAAAGTGTTTATTGTACTCATTAATTTCCACGATTACGATCCGACCTCAAGTCATATTTAAAGCATATGAGGCACATCTGAAAACTTTGACAAACGTCACATATTTCAAATATTCATGGTTATAGATACAATATAACAACGAAAGAGATTTAAAAACTATTTCCAAACGATTAACAATCGAAGCGATAAATGTTAAGTCCCATTGTTTTTATTTTTGGATACCCTCGGGACCATTCAATGAACATCATTCAAATATAATGTTCCGCGTGCGCTGTTCAGATTCGATAACTAGAATTCTGATTGGTTGAAAAAGTCACATGCAAAATCCTTCAGAAGTGAAACCTTATACGGATAGTTGTTAGATCCTCGTATGTAGTATAACGTAGTATAACGAAATCCGAGATCTATATTTTAATTAGATTGAAGGGTAACTTTATTAGTGACCAACAAGGAGCACTATCGGACTGATAAAATTGAACATTGTTGTACATGGAAAAAAAAACAGTTGCTAAAAAATTATTTGTCAACATTTTATTAGTACAATCAAAAACTATTGCCACGTCATATGAACAAGTTAAAAAAATATCTTCATTTTGATATAACACAAAAACTAATTTTATGTTATGCTTAAGTGGTGTCTCTAACGATTTGAAAATTTACCATGAAAAGATACGTATTCCCTACATTACTTAATAAAGCCCCGGTCACACCTTACCGGATAGCGCGAACGGACGCCGAACGGATAACTTTTTACAATCAGTTCATGTCCGTTCTTTTCCGTTAGACGACCGTCGATATCCGTTTCATGTCCGTTCAGCGTCCGTTTTATCCGTCGACGTCCGTTCGGTCCGGTGGAAAATTTTGAGTATGTTCAAAACTTTGAACGGACGTCCAACGGATGAAGTGTCCGTTGAATGTCCGGTACTCGTCCGTTTTTTACGGTACTCGTCCGTTCCGTTTCCGTTTTGTATCCGTTACTTGTCCGTTATACATCCGTTGGAGGTCCGGTAGACCAATTCACCAACGGACTTCTACCGGACGTACATGTATAACGGATAAAACGGATGATGCACGGATGTGAATCGGACATGAACGGAAGGATAACTGATAAAACGATTACGTACCGAATGTAAAACAGATAAATGCCAATTGAAAATTTTTCATCAGAAATGCATATTATTGGTATGTCAGATTTCTTGAGTGCGGGAATGTTTATTATTCTTGATGGATCTTCACTATCAAGCAACTCTTATTCAGGCCAGACTGAACTTAAATGTTGCAAATAAAAACCTACTAGCTGTCGAAAGGAGTAGAAGGAGAAGACAAAGAAGATGGTGGACAAGATCATGGCTTAGTCCTGAAAGACGACGCAGTTGTATGTATTATTATTGCCGCCTTTAATTTTCCGCTTATCTTGTTCATCTGTTTTATCCGGTACGCTTCTGTTATGTGTCCGTTTTATGCGGTACTCGTCCGTTGGATGTACGTTCGACATTCGTTCTGTCCGGTACGTTTCCGTTTCTCGTATGTTGCATACCCTGTGTGTGTCCTTTTAGGCATTCATTACGCGTCCGTTTTATTTGGTCAGTACACCAACGGACTCCCAACGGATAACAATTTTGTCAACGGAAAACTTTTTTTTTCATCCGTTCGGCGTCCGTTCGAGCTATCCAGTAAGGTGTGACCACAGTTTAACAGAATTCAATGATGACTAGTGGTAGGATTGAGGTGAAATTATTTTGCCACGTCCCATGGAATTTCTGAATGATTTATCTTTCTGAAGGTGCAAAATATTTATAAGGGACATTAGTTGCTAAAATGTGAATGGCATTTGAAAAAAAAAATCTGAATGGCATTGTTAAAAAAAATATTTTCAATTGTTCAATTTTTACGTGTTTTGAATTAATCGAAATCTTGTATCAATGACACATTAACGCAACTCAAAAGACATCTGGAGGCAAACACATGGTCTTGATTATTTAACAATACAGTAAAATGTTTTCAATACAATATGCAAAACTTAAAAACTCTCCTGAGGTTAGAAAAATTGTGAATAAACTTAACGAAAATCAAAGATCTCCAATCAACGCCAAATATCGCATATTACTTATAAAAACATCAATTTATAACAAACACAACCAAGGTGACTTCGTACGTGTCCATTTGTTTTCTTACGAGAAAAAGAAAACATCTAGACTTAACATTTCTTAAAGATTTTCATGAATTTGTCAAAAACGTTGAATGTCAAAAGCGTTGATATTCAATATCTATATTTTCATTTAAAAAATAAACCAATACTGCAAATCGATTCTTTCAAGATAAAATACAATTGAATTTTGAAACGTCTTAGATGTCATTTTCAGCCAAATTTGCATTCTTGGTTTTTGTAACACAAATCCGTGTTACCAAAACCATTATTCCAGCAAAACATATACAGCTTCCGCCTGAGATGTAAGTGTTGTCATAACTACCAGAGATATCGTACAGCCAGCCTAAAAGTAAATATAATTCAAATAGAGGTCGGTCAATTTAAAACGTATCAAACGTATCCGATACGTTGACGTATACGCATCTGGAGGAATATGTTTGAATAAATACTTCGATCGCGAGTTTTACTTGATATACTATTTTTAAACAATGACGGGGATCAAACTTTGTGGCCAAAACTGATTAATTTGCATCTGCTTATTTCTGAATGCCTCACTTAAATTTCGAGCCATAATGGTCATTGATGGTTTTAAATTGGTTTGTTTCAATGTCATGTGTCGACGTATGAGTGCTAAATCTTGGCTTGATTTGCCACACAATCCTCATTGTCTATCAATTGCAACGAAACAATAGATATTATTGCTCTGCACGGAGTTTCCCCTCGGTATGTGTACAATATGACACGTCTCTTTTTAAACAGTATTTTTGCTGGGTTGATATTATTGCGCTTTGAAAATTTCGTTTTTAACATACGGACCTATAGAAGGGTCTTGAGGATTATGTATTCTTTTATTGCTTCAATGCTAAACATATGGAAATTTTATAGAAAATCCACAGCCTTTCCCTATATATAAAAATAAGGGGATGAGGTATGATTGCCAATGAGCCAATTATCCACCAAAGTTCAAATAAAGTGGATGTAAGCAATTCTGTACTTAATATATAGGGGATTACTGCATGCAGTGCTAACAATAATTTTTCTTATACAAGTTTTTGAATAAATATATTAGTTAAAACAACTACAACTTATAGGGTGCGCTGGACTTCGTTGACTCGGCACGAATTTTTTTATTGTAACGGTTGTTGAGGACTTTTGGTAAAAACTAAACGCTTGCACAACATGGATGAACTAGTGAGTAATCAAGGTATCAAATTTTTTAACGAAAGTCTGTGTAAAACAGTCTTAAAATTTGGAATGGAAATGGGGAATGTGTCGAAGAGACAACAACCCGACCAAAGTGCAGAAAACAGCCCAAGGATTGATTTGCCACAAAATCCATATTTTCTATTAAATGCAATTATACAATTATAAATATAATCTCTTGTGATCGGACGTTTCCCTTTGGTATAAGTGAAAAATGGCACGTCTCTTTTGATCAGTAATTTTTCTGGTTTTAAATAATTCACTTTGAAAATTTCGTTATAAACAGGCCTACAGAAGGATCATAAACCATAAACCTAAAGGTTCATCAAAAAGAATTGAAAAATATGGCCGTGTTTACACCACAAAATCTACTCAGAGTACAAGCAAACCGACATATCCAGGAAAGTTTTAAGGCATGACTAGACCTAGATATATAAAGGTCATATGTAGTTTATGTTCCAGAAAATTAAAAACTTACCAGGATTTTGATGTTCATTTTTTTTTCAGTTTGCAGAAGATAGCAAAATAAACAAACACTTGTGTTTCATTTGATACGCTCCACTCAGTGACACAGTTTAAATCACCTATTGTTTGCAGATGTCTATTGTTCATCTATTGTCCATTTAAGTCAATGCAACTTACAACATTAACTAAATGAGGGGAGCTTCTCAAACCTCTTTCCCAATTTAGTCTATGTTGGCACCTTCTGCAGGAATGAAATAGCGAAATCCATGTAAGTTTTTAATATTCTGAAACTTAAAATGCATTTAAATTTTATATATCTAGATCCAGCTATGCTCTTAAACTTTTGCAGATGCACAGGTTTGTCTAGCTGTACCCAGAGTGAAATTTGTGCTGTAAAACGGCCATATTTGCAAAAGGTTATGATGAACCTTAAAACTCGGTATAATATATGTTGGTTTTTGGAAAGTATATCTCCAGATAAGGAGACGTTTAAAATTGACCGACCTCTATGGGTCGAAATTTAAATGAGGCATTCAAAAATAAACAGATGCAAATTAATCAGTTACGACCACAAAAATAGCTAGATTCCCGTTATTCTTTAAAATAGTATATCGAGCATGTCGAGTAATACTCGCGATAGTGGTAATTATTTTAGCATATTCTCCCAGATGCGTATACGTCAACGTATCGGATACTTTAGATACGATTTAAATTGAACGACCTCTAATAGAGACAAATGTATGCATACTTTCAAACACTAACGTTAGATTGGAATCCTCAATAATTGTTGTTTATATCCATATTTTGGTTTGGTCTATCAAATTCCAGTCGATTACATTCATTGTCTAGACGGATGAAAAATAGAAGAATTAAGTTAATCAGGCAGCTTTATCTATCAGTAATGTAATTATCAATACGTCGAAAACAGGAGGTATGGGAAATCAACTGAACAAATCATTCATAATTACCTTGTTGAGTTGCATCTTTTTAAGAAATACCAGTGATTCTTTAAGTTGATTTATAATACACCTGTCTCTAGTAGAAAATTTTAAGAGAGTGGAAAATTACATTAAGCTACTTCTTCACGACTAATTATACTCATCATCATTACGTAATCCTCGTCAAAGTTTTGAGAATTTGCATTTTACCTTACTATACGGTATGGACATTGTTCATTGTTGAAGGCCGTTCTTTGACCTGTAGTTGTTTACGTTCTAGTCATTTGGTCTCTGGTGGATAGGTGTCTCTTTGACAATCATATCACATCGCCTTTATTTTATATTCCTACATGTACAACTTACCAGCAAATGGAGGACCAGTTAAGTTAGCAATACCTTCAAAAAACATCAAAAGGCCATAGGCATCTGTAATTTTATCTTCACCAAGAATATCAATTATTATTACTGCATGTATAGCCTCCTGGCATGCAGATATTAATCCAAATGTTCCTGCTAAAATCATGTTTGGAATGTAATCTCTAAATGATGGAATTGCACATATATTTACGCCCCAGATACATAAACTTCCACAATAAAGATAAAACCTAAATTTTTCATTTCGGCTTCCCAGAAAACCAAACAGTATATTACCAACAATATGAGAAGCACCGATCACAGCTACTATATATGAACCTTTCTTTGTAGAAAACCCAAAACCTTGCATTCGGTCAACTGTAAAATTATACGGTAGATCATACCAAAAGTAAACAATAAACAAGGAACATGTAAACAGAAGGAAATTAATGTCTTTTAGCATTGAAAATTTACGCAGAATAGTATTGTAAATCTTTCTAGATATTGAAACGCCTTCTTGTATTTCAGTATCCGATCGCGAATTTCTGGTACTAGAATTCTCAATGAATTTGTCCGTTACATCTGTGGATTCAGGGTTTTCTTTTTCTATCACGATGTTATTTTCTAATGTTTTTTCGATGATGATTTCATCTTTTATATCTTCTATTTCAACAAATGCATTGACATTTCTGAAAATAGCACCGCATGGTATTGTTTGCAATAAAATACCACTAATTATGGTAAGAGCTCCACGCCAACCGTATTGTTCTATAAGGAATTCGTAAAGTGGAGCAAATATGAGAGTTCCAAGTCCGGCACCACTCTGCGAAAATCCTGTAGCGATCGTTCTCTTCTTTTCAAAATAAGCCGTTACGACTACAATTGAATTAAGGTAAGGTATCGATATCCCGAAGCCAGCTATTAGCCCAAAAGTTAAACACAAGGCCTCAATAGAATTGACAAAAGTACTGGCTATAAATCCAGAGAAGCCTATTAATCCACCAAATATTGTTGCTTTTCTAAACCCAATGCGTTTAGTGATCATACTAGCAACTGGACCAAATAACATGGGAGCTGAATCTAACATGGAACCTATCCAAGCGGTGTTACTCCTTGTTTCTTTAAATTCTTCAAGGAACTGTACATAGATTACACCGAAAGAAAACAGACATCCGTCAACTATTATATTAATGACAAAAGCTGAGAATACTATCATCCAACGCCTGCCACTGTATGCTTTCTGATCACCATCTGCATTATTTTCACGTATACTCTTAACACTTCCATCGTTGTCATTCATCGTATGGTATATATTCAGACTAAGTGTTGCATTATACTTTCCAAGTATGTGGTTAATATGTTCGAACCACAATACGAAAACATGGAAAAGGCTGAAAATAGAACACAAAATGTTAACACTTACATGTAATACGTTGTATCACATATATAGTGTGTACATATTCACTATACATGTGCATGTATACATTTACTGTAAATATTATATTATCGGGATTATCAAACAGAACTACAATACGTTTGGCTTTACAAATTAATATTCTAGAATGTACATCAAATCATAAATATACCATAAAATGACACGTTTATCAGTCACATTCAAGACTTAAAGAATTATTAATGAAACTAATAAGCATTATTTTTTACATTGAACTTATATATGTTGTGTACAAGTTATCATTTTGTTGAAATTATAATGTGTACAAAAAAAATGTAGTTCAGTGGTTGTCGTTGGTTCATGTCTGTCATATTTGTTTTTCGTTAATTGTTTCGTTATAAATTAGGCCGTTAGTTTTCTCAATTGAATTGTTTCATATTTTTCATGTCGGGTCCTTTTATAGCCGACTATACGGTATGGGTTTTACTCATTGTTGAAGGCCGTACTGTTGCCTTTATTTGCTTACATCCACTTTATTTGAACTTTGGTGGATAGTTGTCTCATTGGCAATCATACCTCATCTCCTTATTTTTATACAATTTTTATGTTAACTTTGTACAAATTATAATTTGTCCAAAACGTGCTTGTACACATTACAATTTGTACAAAATTTGACTAAAATTCACTTATAACTTGTACGTACAAAGGATATATGATGATTTAACATGATAGAAAAGATGGCTTTTTATATATTTTTAACAGTAATTCATTACAATGGTAAACGCCAATGATACAGAAAACCCACAACAAAATATTCAAAAGCCATCAAGAGACAAACATACAGGATGCAATTATGACAATATAGACAATGCAATTTTCCATAGGAACTCCTTTTACGGCTTAAACTATGACACTTTTAGTATGAAGTGTCATAAAAAATATATCCCGGAATTGAAAATTCACATGTACTACAATTTTTGCAAAAGTTAAAACATAGGGTTGTGCGGCACACTTTCAACATTTATATGCCTCGAACTTCCAATAGTTTAAACTTGTACTAAAATTACGTACTATCTCAACCTTTTCAAAGATAATACCATGTCAATTATAGTCAGATATATATACACTTAATTCACTGAGGCAAAGATTACCATTGCAAAATTTCCGTTATCTATGGTGAACATGTATGTAGTAATATTTACGTGTTGTTTTCATTTTTTACAGTAGGACTTAGTATTAAATTCATACAAAGACAGTTTGTAATAAGTTTATTGCAATCAGCATATAAGAAAATGCTATAGCATCAACAACATATATAATATAGCAAGCGACAACATATAAATGAAAGCAGAAAGCAAAATAAAAAAAAAAATAAACAACAAATTTTTAACACCAAAGTTCTTAAACATGTTTGAATAATTGATACAAATTTTGACATATTAGGCCAAGAACAAAAATATTTAGGCAAAAATCTTAGACGCTAATGTCTTTAGGCTGGACAAAAATTGTATTCTGGCATATCCTTTCATTTCGTAAAAAAAACAACCTAGTATGCCGTATGAAAGCAGCCCATGCCGTATGAAAGCTAACCAAGTTTATTTAAATATTACCTACACTAGCTACACAATTTTTCGTGTACTTCGTCCAGACGATTAAGATTTTTATTAAATCGCAAATTTAATTCATTTGAAAAGAAGAAGTTGCCAATTCATATTGAAATATGGGTAATTGGTATAAATATGTAAACATAAATCATTATTCTGTGATATAATACATGAACAATAATGATTGCAATTCGGTAAATATTTTACGAGCTATCTACTGTGAAATCGCAATTGCATATATATGTCAATTTCAACAATATGACCATATTGACGTACTATTATTATTGATTTCAGTGATACTGCCTTCATCTCACTAGAAAAATCCTGCCGAAGTTTGGGTTGAAAGTTTTACTTTCAGATTCAAAATACGAATGATATTTTTGTTTTTTATTTTGTGAAAATCTATAAATTAATATAAGAACTAAACGCTGTGTTTTTGAAAATTTATACGAAATGAAAGCAAGTGACCATCACATTTTTTACAAGAAGCGAGGGACTTGCTTTCATATCGTAAAAAAAACAGTATTCAATTCAGAACGAATGCCAAAAAAATTGGAAACAATAATTTTATTGAGTCATTAATTTGATTAAGTGCACTATTTTTAAGATTTAAGGGTAGGCACTAGGTTTAAAGTCAAGTTTAAACAACTGCAAATAGGATGAAATTAAAGGATTATGTGTTTTCCTGAGAATAGTTTATAAACAATCATCAAGTCTTTGCTACACATGGGTCAATCACCCCCCCCCCCTTTTTTAAAGAGGAGATAAAGACATAGATCACTAAAGTAAAGTTCAAGGTTAGGTAGACATATTTTGCATACATAACCTTACAATTTAGATGTAAGTGGACAGTAGGTAGATCTCAACGTTCTAAACATTCTTACCCAGTCAATTTTCTCTATCTCTAGCAGTTGCAACACAATAGACAAAATGTGCATTTTCCCCCTATGTTCTATTTCAAGCCATGAAGGCCATGTTGGTGAGCAACTGGGATTCTCGGCCACATATTGTTAAGCTACATATCCTCATGATGAATGCGGCCAATTTTGGTTCCAATTCGCCCAGTATTTTCAGAGTAGATTTTTGTAAAAGTTAACGAACGACGACGACGGAAGACTGACGCCAAGTGATGAGATTGCTCACTTGACATAGGAGTGCAAAAGCGTTTGGAAGGTATTAAAGTGAGAATCATAACTCATAAGTCGAAGAGAGTCCGACAAAATCATGGCAAAATTTTTTTTAAAAAACTACGAAAAGACAAACAACCGTCTACAAAACACTATACAAAAACTAAAATCTGAGAACAATAACCCCACAAATAACCAGTAATCGGGGTGATATCAGGTGCTCTGGAAGGGTGAGCATGTCCTGCTCTACATGTGGCACCAGTCCTTTGACTCATTGCAAGTAAACATTCGGTGTTAATGTTGCAATCGAGGAAGAGAGGACGGTAGAATGGCTACGACAATTCGATCGAACATCTCGGTGGTCATCGGTGACACAGATATTCCTTAACGGTCAATAAACTCACGATTGCACCCTTAAATCTGCCAAATGAATCACTTCAACTTTACCAGATAGCAAAAAGCAACCGTTTTAGTTTTATTTTTTTATTGTAAGGAGTATATTTTGTGGTGAATGTTCTCACTCTTGATGGTCCAGCAGCTCATTTCACATAAAAACTTAGGAGAAAAAATACTCGTAAGTGATCATGAACATTTCTGGATGATTTACGATCAATTTATATCGTAAGAATTTTGATTAAAGTGCCCCTGTACATGTATTGGGGTTTTTTGGTGACTTTCTTTGGTGGGTTGTTGAAAACATACTGGAACAGTATAAAAATAAAGAGATGTGGTATGATTGCCAATGAGACAAATATCCACCAAAGTTCAAATGAAGTAGATGTAAGCAATTGTAGGCAACCGTACGGCCTTCAACAATGAGAAAAACCTATACCGTATAGTCGGCTATAAAAGCTAGGCTCCGACATGAAAAATATAAAACAATTCAATTGAGAAAACTAACGGCCTATAATTTATAGCAAAACAATTTACAAAAAACAAATATGACAGACATGAAAAAGCGACAACCACTGAACTACAGGTTCCTGACTTGAGACAGGCACACATAGAATGTGGCGGGGTTAAACGGCATGTTTATTTTGAAAGTTCCTTGATTATGCAACATTGATTACAAATCGACTGATGCACTTGTTTACAATTTTCACCACAACAGTGAAAATTGCATGGATTTATGAGTTAGAACTGATGATATTGATTTGATTATTATCCGAGTGAGGACAGTGATTGAAAAATTTCCAAATACAAATAAATAATTGATTGAAAGCACCACCATACGCTTTACCTCCAATCAATATCTATTCAGCACACGTGTTAATGTAAGAATGCACCAGTATTGTAAAATGTTCTTAATTTGTAGACTGTTTTAAGATTTTTCACATAATAATTAAGTCTGTCTGACTTTAAGAGTATAAAGAAAAACGCAGCAAAAGACAATAAATAAGTAATTCAAGGGACCTTACCATAAACCATGTGATATTTGGAAATCATAGCACTTTTACATTATGCGTACACAACAAAACATGATACTACACAGTAACTATTATTGTGTGCAACGCGTTATATTGATCGAGCTATTTTTAAAGATAATCTTATACTCAAGGGCTTTTATCTAAACACGAAAAGAACAATAATATTTATAATACATTAAAGGTCGTATACAAACTTAATGTTACTTTGTAAACTGTAACTCAAAAGGTCAGTAGTATTAAAGGTCAAACTTAACCGTTAGATTCACAACTTTTATATAGGACCACAGGAAAAACAACGATTTGTTTTCAAGGAAAATATAGTTAAAAAAGAATTATATGCAGTCAATAGAATAATTTGACAAATAATATTGTCAAAATATTTGTCGCCTTAATTGTTTTTGAACAGCATTTTAACAATTTTCGTTTTACTGTCCAGAATTATTTTCAGCGCATCCAAAAAAGAATGTTACCTTATAAAATATGAACAAAAGAAGATGTGGGATAAACATATAGAGGAATCTAGTGTAAAAAAAAAAAACCTCTTCTGCAAACACTGACAACGTCTTGATTAAAAAAAGTAACAAATTCGCAATATAAAGAAGTTGAAAAAAAAAATAAAATTTGCATATAATGTTTTCATTTCCCTCCTAACATAGCAAACAATGAGTAAGGCAGTATATAGAAACTTTGTGTAAAATTGGCTCAAAGTTATGCTTTGCGAATAAATGTCATGTTGTAAATTGTACATCTATAGTAAGTTAAATTTATATGTGGTTGTGACATGAAACATCGAATCGTTCAAATAACCATTAGATAAAATATTTTAAATGTACTATAAAATTATTATGATTAAGAAATTACATTTTAATGAATATGGTTACCAGTGTTTGCAATCTGTTGATTTTGTCGCCTTTTACATATATAATACGAGTCACTTTTCTATTGTTCTCGCGTCATCAGTTTTGCCACTGCATAATGCAGTGACATACCGAATTAAACAGTATGTACGTATGTATAATAACTTAGAGTTCGTTGAAATCATCCAGTCTGTTAGAAGGGCATATATATATAACAATGCCTTACCAGAGGATTACATAATTAAGTTACCTAGAAATGAAACAAATGTTTCGTTATTATCCACTGTCCTAAATAACAATTATTTTGAGTTAAAGACAGAGTTTTCCGCCAGGGCATAAGAGCTAGCATGGGTAGCAAATGCAGCCCCCAAATTTGTGATATTAGGGCGTTTGAAGTAATCAATGAGATTAAGGATAAATATGCACATCGGAGTGCAATTTTATACTTCGGAAGGTATCGAGATGATGCCTTAATGGTAGCCCATTCATCCAGACACGAAATTGAAGAATTCGTCGAAATAGCATCACCCTTTGCTTAAGTTTACGTAAAATATTCGGATACAGAAATGATATTTCTGGACACTGTCGTTTATAGGGAGACACAATTTAGGGATACAGGTGTACTTGATATAAAAAGTTATATCAAGCCTAGCTACAAACACACATCAGTATTTACAGAGATCGTCAATGCATAATCCTACAATATTTTCAGAATTAATCAAGGGAGAAGCAATACGACATTGTAGGAATAATAGTGACAATCAGAACCTGCAAAATACAATTTCTGAATTTAAGGTACACCTGAAAAAAAGATGCTACAAAGAAAATGAATTAAGCTACAATTATGATTCTGCTCTCAGCATGGACAGATCAGAGCTACTCTGCTTTGAACCAACTCTTTATAGACAGATTCCTCTGGTATTTATAGCCAAATTTCACTTTTCAATACGAGATGTTTAAAAAGCGATGCGCAAACATTATGGAAAATTACAACGGGATGAAAAGTGTAAGGCACTTTTCCCAAACCACCAACGATTGCTTACAGTAGACATCGTAACTTGAAAGATTTTCTGACTAGCTCTTTAGTCCGACTTTAAAGAAATTAAAGGGAATGGGTCAGGACTCCTGATGAAGCACCCAGACCTTTTATAGTAGAGCACGAACCGTCATAAGTACGTCATATTCTGTTCTGCAGAAACACGATCGTGTTGGGTCCTGGGGAATGGACGTACGTGGATGTTAGGTACTTTTTGACCTCATAAGTCGAACCAAATAACCCAAAGACTGTTAGATAATTATTTAAAACAACTTTTATAATTAATAGATATAAGAAGATGTGGTATGAGTGCCAATGAGACAACTCTCCATAGTATGCATATATACATCCGATTTATGAAAGCATAATTATTTTATTTAATTACAAAATTAAATGTTTACATGTACAACTTTTCACGAAAAACTGTCCCAACAAAAAGATAATATAACTAGTATATAGTTTTGTTTGTTTTCTAAGTATTGTTAAAAGAAGAACTATGGATCAGTGTTGAATGTTACATGTATTTTCTATGGAATATACCGTAAAGTATGTATATCTATCTAGTACATAGCGCTCTCGTCTGTCTGTCTGTCTGTCTGTCGGTCTGATTAGTGCGCGCGCGCGTGTGATTTGTATCAATTCTGAACAACAAACACACTCGAACTGTTTCAGGATGGCTCAGAGCTGTAATTTCGATAGATTTTGATAATGACTGACTAGTGTCAAAACAAAAACTGAAAAAAACCCCAAAAAAATGACTATAATTTTTATCGAAACCAAAAATAAATTATTATTCGAACTAAAACCATGCATTGTCAGATTGATTTGATGCATCCTCTTTACGGATGTCGTTCGATGAGATTTTTCTATAAAAAAAATAAAATTATTTTATCAAAATTGTCTTCAACCGCATTAATTATGGATATAAGTTATATTTTACACATATTTTAATATGTAATTTATTTAGACTTTTTCATATTATTTAAGATTTACTAAAATTACTTTGCGATTTTGACTCTACACGTGAAACAAATATAGAGAAAGTTTGATCATAGATTACGTTAAATTTCTACAGGAGAGAAAATTCTCGTTTGAAAGAAAGATGTGTGATTTCACCATTATCGCAGTGGTAATGCTCATGATGCTTATTTCAAAAATCTTTACAACCAAAAATAGTTTTAATTATTACACTCATATTTGAATTATTCCATCTTTAAGGTTGGCTGGGGTATGAAATATAGTCACCATATAATAACTTCTCCGTAAAGGGAAGACGCGTCAGTGTGGCTTTGAGGAATGTATAAATACATAACATCGTCCATCGGAATGTGACTTTAATCCAATTTCTCGTGAAGCAAAAATTGCCATGATCTCTCTCTGCAAGTAAAGGAACCCCCAAGATTGCAATAATTGCAAGGGGACCAAAGGGGGCATGTTGCAAGTCAAAACGTTTGCCCTTAATGAACATACCCTGTTTTTCCTGTCGTAAAATGTTGCACTTGAACTCGTTTGACCTATGTTGTAGAACATACCAGTTGGATTTATTGTTCATTTGGTCCCGTTCTGATAACTTATGAAATATTTACCATTGAAAGTTATATGAGCAATCGATAAATCGACATTATCTGTTGCAGCATGAATAACTGCTTTTTGATATGCACAAACATGTAATTGAAATAAAGGATATATATATATATATATATATTTTTAATTCTTCCATGATGAATCAACAGAAATTCTCTCAATTATTTTGAATTGAAAGCTGTTGTTTCCAAATGCTGTTCTATGACAAAAACACCATTCCCGTTCGTGCAACACGCGTTTTTTTGGCAAAATTCTCATCAGGTATGCTCAAAAAAGTTTTTTTTAAAGCCTCAAACAACATAAACACCAAAAACGGCCTTAACTTTGTCTGATGGAGTTCGGACTCTAATTTGTTGCCTAATATGCAATCATACAATTTCTCCTTATTTCATATGCGACCTTTAAAAGCAATGATAATTTAGGAGATTATAACAAGTACATTGTTTTATGACGCCCCAAGTGTTGACAGGAGTATAGACATATGGTCATCTGCTAACCTCGTTCAACGGTACTAAAACCTATACTAAAGTAGGGCGTCCTTGTTTGCATGTGCAGGATGTATAAATACGAATGCACACCCGGTAGAAATGTGGACTTTTAAAATATCCGATGCCCCGTGTAAGGTGAGAGCCACACTTTCTGCAGAGGCCGGTGATCTGTTGTAAATATTTCTATTCCTATCAAACACATACCCTCATTTTCCAATGACAGCTCAAATTTCCCGACTTTCAAATCGGTCGCCGTAATTTGGTAAACCTACCTATTGTATAGATTCTTAATTTGTTCTCGTTCTAAATATGTTTGAAACAATAACCACTGGACGTTAAGCAAGGAGCAATCAATTAACCAATCGTTATTTGATTATGTATATGACATGTAGTACAGGAGAACACGTGAAGTATTTGAATATAATGATGAAAATAACAAGCAAAATTTCTGGGCTGTATTGAAACCGGTAAATTTAAAAACGAAGTTGCCATAATTTACTACATCGCATAGCTATATTTAGTCGAGATAGAAATAATTTATTATTTACAACACATATTGTAAAAATCATCTGTATAGATATTTACACCAAGATGTCGTTAACATGGTTGGGTGAAATTGGATACCCTGCATATATCATGCTTTTCAATAACATATGATCAAATTACTGAAAGACCCCCTCCTAAATTATTGAAAACTATCTTTCTGCATTAACAATAATATCTTGGTGTAATTGAGATACAACGCCCTCAAGGTGTATCTAATACAAAAATATGTTAAAACTTATAATAACTTACTCAAAGGAAACGCTAACACCACTTCAAAACATAAATAGGGTACATGTGTTAGTAATCATGGTGTACTATAACTGAAAGATTACGCGATCAATGGATTTAAAAGCTTAACTCAACACGTTCTTACGTGTGTATCTTTAATACTTTGATTCTGTACTTTTCGTTACGTGTTTTTACTTTTCAATTGCATAAACAGCACACAGGTTGTTAAAACGTCCATTACTACTCGACCTCAAGTCATTCATGCCCTAGGTCATTTTCAAACAGCCCTTATATCTGGTAATCAAGGAATTTAAT